TCAACCTTTAGCCTAACCACGTTACAACCCTTAAAAAGACCTTTTTGAGGTATACACGCACTTGTGCGAGGTTCGGCTAGAGCTACGTTCAGCCTGATTCCTAACGGACACGTAGGCAACCTCACATTGAAGTGCGGCCGTAATAAACATGCATTCACATTCACATTCACACATCATCCCCTATGCTCATTCCTATCTATTTAGAGTTAGACTTGGGGGCTTGATCCCTACATCATTAGCTTACCTAGCCCAAGAGTCACCATCATTTGACTCTTTTCAATATCTTTTTCCACACACTTAGCCCTTGCAGTCTAACTTTAGTATCACTTTCACACACCGCACAGATACATGACCAAATATACTTTCCCTTAGGAACCCTTTGTCATGAAATCTTAACATAACGCTGAAGCATGCCTTGTCATGTCAAAATCGCTCATCAATCATCTTTGCATCACGAAGTATGAAGTGCTTAGCCTCCGTGCCTAAGTTACCCAAATACTTTCATCATTGAGTCAACAATTGAGATAGCCTAGAATGGATTAATCCTTGCACCTTGAGAGACAGCATCAAACGCATATATTTGACTAAGCTCATTCAACATGCACCTTCTCAAACACTTTGATTCTTTTTTCGTGTTTTTCTTTTTCGGGAGAAAGTCGGTACCCTCCACAAAAATGACGGAAAATTTTTGCTTTTTTGCATTTTCAAGTCCCACGATCACAATACAATGCACACACGAGTCATGTACACGTTGAGTCATATCATGATATCACCTTTATTTGAGTCTAACACATGTGTCAAACACTTTGAGTCGAGTCAACCTCGAGTCAATCACATCGAGTCAAGTTCATACCTTGAGTCATGACAAGTCAATGAGTCAAGCAACACTAAGTCTTAGGTCAACCCTAAAGAAAGATAAGCAAAGACATATGGTCAAAGATATAAATGCAGGTGCATCCCAGCAAACAAGGACATTCCCGCATTTTTTTCGAAAAAACCGCAAATATGATACAGGAGATTCCTCCAAGATAAGAGGAGTTACATGGATCAGTAAATTAGAGAGGAAGAGCTTTAATTTACAAAAGATTTGAGCGGATTTGGTTGAAAGGAAACGACCAAGCTCAAAGTTCGGAGCAAAACCAAGCAACAGCAGCAGCAAGAGCAGAATAGGGAAGACCCGACTCCAGCACCAGACGACAGGATGTCGTATGGCAACAAAATATGGCGTCTGGCGACAAAGTTCAGCGCCTGGCACTAGATCCCAACGTCTGGCGACAGAGTTAATTCTTGGTGCCAGCGATATTTCACCAGCGACAGAGCTCGAAGCCTCTCAGAATGGTTATTTCGACCTCATAAAGCAATTTCGGGTTCCTTGGTACGCCAGTTAGCCCCTATAAGCAAAATGACATGATTAGTAGGTCGGCTCGATTACAATCGTAGTAAGTGATTAACCTGACAGAAAATTGTCTCACGCTCATTACAAGCACCAACGTATCGGTTTAAAAACAAGCACTTAAATGACAATATTTCCAAATACCTATTGTCGCGCATTCTTCTTAAACGACAATTTTTCCAAAAATTGGATTGTCATCCCCAAGTGACAATATTTCCAAAAATGGATTGTCGTGCATCTTCTTCAACGACAATTTTTCCAAAATTGGATTGTCATCTCTGGCAAAGTTTCCAAGCTTGGATTGTCGTGCTCCTTCTCTGTTGGAAATTTTTTTCAAGTTCGGATTGTCATCGCTACAAGTTTTCCGAGATTGGATTGTCATACACCCAGTTCCCTATGACAAAATTTCCCAAAGGATTGTTGGACTCTATTCGTCATAAATTTCGGTAAAGGTTCCTCAACGTGGATTGTCATTCATTTCAGTAAGTGGCAAATTTTCCCGAAGTGGATTGTCGGTAGACTCTTTTTTGCAAATGTTCCAAGACGCGGATTGTCAATTGTGGCAATATTTTCCTAAGAGGATTGTCGCATAGCGTTGGAAAATTTCCACGGTGGATTTCTTTCAAGAGTTATATTTCAAGATGTGGATTGTCGATTGTAGCAAAGTTCTTATGACAGATTGTTACGAAGCATTAGCAACTTTTCCCAAAATTGGATTTTGGCAAATTTTCCAAGATACGAATTGTCGCTTCATCGTGGCAACATTTCCAAGGATGGATTGTTACAAAGCATTGACAACTTTCCCTAAATCAGATTGTCATACATCATACAAGAGTTGTGTTGGCAACTATTCCCAAAGAAAAGACGATTGTCATCACATCAAAATTAAAGCACCGATATACTGGTTCACAAGCAGCAAAGCGCCGACGTACTGGCATGGGAGCATTAAGGATCAACAAGTAGTGATCTTTTCGAAGACTATCACAACGGAAATTGGAGGCAGTTACAGGCGTAGCAGTATTCAGGCGGTATTCTCTAGCTTGCGGAAGATCGTTACAACAAATCGGTTACCTCTAGAGACGTGTGCTCGACGGTGCAAGATACGCGTTTCTTAACTCTTTTATCTGTTTAACTAATGCTAGTTTGCAGGTATTGGCGTTACAAGAATGATTTAGCATCGCAGAACGTTCTGAATCATTCTCCGTCCCTATCGCTACTTTGACTTTTGTTTTCGAAACTTAAATTTCTCCAAACTCAGTCAAAGTGGGGGCTTCTGTAGACACCCAAATGTGTCTCCCCAAAACCAAACCCAGTGATGAATACCTTTCATTTCATTTGATTATCGAGCAAAACAAAAGTGTGAAAATTCTAGTGATGAGGATGTTTATCTGTTCTTTCTGTTTTTTGAAAAAAAAAAATTCTTTTCTTACCTTATTTATGAAAAAAGTGCATTCTAGTTTAGTTTGGTCCATGATATGGGTCCAATAATGGTGTAATTAGATGGGGCTTGAAAATACTTTTCCAACGATATATTATAATGAGGAAATTATGGCCAAAATACTAAACTGGGCTCGAACCGGATCTTACCTACGACCCAATGATCATGTGGAGGGTCCAAAGGTCTAATCCTATTCCTAAACTAATTAGGATCAATTAGAAGCTTCTATAAGTTTCTAAAAGATCTTAATTATCCTTTTTGAAAAGATAAGATTAAAGAATTTGAGTTAAATAAAAACTTTCCTTTTTCTTAAATCCTAATTCTATTCGAATTTAAATATGTTCAAAGACAGTCAGATTTTATTTTAGTGCCTCATAATCTTTATCCAAATCGTATATGGTAGGGTAGATCTTGAAATTATCTTTCCAATGATATATTATAATATTAAATCCGAGCTATAACGAAAAAGATATGAATTAGATATGAAACTCTATCCAAACCTGACACCCTTCCACTATTTTGGCTATATATTTTTATCTACAAAATATTTTAATCTGATTCTAATTGGGTTGGAAAGTAGACTTCAATAGCTTTCTAACGACATATCATATGCCCTTATTTGGGCTTCTAGATCAAAAGATATGATAAAAACAAAATCCGCAAAAACTGTTGTCCATCGAGTTTTATTTCCATTCGAATTCGGATTCTTTTCTTATTCTTCGAATCTCTTTTTTCTCTATAAACAGAGGTCATAGATCCCCTTTTTAAATCACCAACTCTCATCAATAATTTCTTGATTCTCTCTCTCTTTCTAGCCTAACTTTTTACAAACACAATTCTTCACACATTAGCACTAGACAAACCTAGCATAATTAGAAGTTGTCTTCGCCTAGACGTGAAAGGTTTGATATTTTTGAGGGTTTGGTCCCAAATCTCTATTTCAATTAATTAATTTAATTGTTGTTTTATTATTTTCCTCGAAGTTACTAACGCGTGTATTTTGTTATTAGAAAGAGATACAAGACATCCAAGTAAGTACTTTAATTGATTTATTGGTATTATGATATAGAAATCATGTCTAGATCGTTATTATGATTCCTAATGTCATGTTAGGGTGTTTTGATCTTCCTAGTATTATTATGTTTAGGGTAACAACTATAATTTCTAATATCAAATATGACAATTGTGATTCCTGCGATGCTTCCTATTTTCTTTCCTAATACTCATGTTAGTATCATGTTAGGGTTAAAGCTTTGATTTTTATTGTTTAGCGACATGGTAGGGTTTGTTATTAATTCTGTTAGTATCAGGACTGGGATCTTGCCATTAATATTATGCTTTAATATGATTTTGATTATTGTTATAATTGTTATGATTATTATTATGTTACTTGATTATATTTATTATATTGCTTGATCACACCTTTTATGCATGTTTAAAAGGAATTGGTACTTGTAATCACGCTTAATAAAATAATAAATAATCTTGTTTAGGGTTAATTTGATTATAATTCAAGTGATGACCAATAATAGTTTTGCATTAATATTCAACCAACATAGATAAACAGGTTTAGGGTAATCCTATTGATTGCATGTTAGTCAGAAAGCGCATATGAATACGATTAGAATAAAGTAAAGGCCTATTATTAGGGCAGGTTCAATCTTTTTTAGGTTGGATTTGTACCTTCATCCCCGAACTACCAGTCATGATTCCAGACCTATTGGAGTTGACGATCTCCTGGATCTTTAAGGGGTGTAACCTTCACCTTGTGAACGGTTTATAAGTTCATAAAACTTGTTGGCAACTCTTTTGCTCTAGCTTCTTTCCCTTTGGACGCCACCATGCTTAAGTGTATGATCACAGTGGGGTTCAAGCGCTTGAAATATTCCCTACAATGGGGTGTAACCTTCACAGATCAATCGTTGTTGCCTTTGTTATCCCTTATTCGTGGTTGCCTTAAATGATCCGTGAATAGTTTACAAGTTTCTTAAAAAATTGTTGGCGGCTACCTACTTTTCTTGTCCCTAATCGTATATGTCAATTCCCATTTCCTATGAGTCCCAAGCATATTCACCACATGGTTAACATAGGCACACCTCAAACGATGCCTACAAGGCCTCTGCATCAGTTTTCCAGGTATACAATTCAATGAAAAAGCAAACCCAATACTTCCCATGAACAAATTTGAACATTTTGAACTATACCCAGAAAAGTAATTATACTCAATACTCAATACATTTCTGATCAAATTACAGTGCCATCCGTCTTTATTTAGGTGCTTTATGGGACTGATACCATTTCTGGAAAAACTCGGCTCCGATTCTTCAGTATCATCAAACCTAGGTTAGGCATCTGATTCTGTTGAAGGTGTTGCTTCAAATTGGGACTTAAATCATCTCAAGAAGTTACATTGTTCCTTGCTTTCATTTGAGACATTGGACTCTACTGGTATATTGGTGCTCGGCTACATATTGGAATGTGTTTTTCATGCCTTCCTTGGGTATGACCTTTCAGTTTCAAGCTCATGTGATAATAATCTGTCATATTGGTTCTTCTGTGTAAATTCTAGTCTTTTCAGTGAGTGAATTCAACGTATCATTTAATTTTGTAAAGCATTCCCCTTAAATAATCTATCTTTAGATAATTATTACCTGTCATAGTTAAAACATCCCTTCAATTAACAAATTACGTATAAAATTCATCTCACAAACTTAATCTGTCAAACCTGAAGTATACACAGTGCATAATATGGACAGTAACAGCAAACATGATCACAACCAAATTAAACAAATCAAAACGAAACATAACTAACATGAGCAATGGAATATGATATTTTCACAAATAACCTAAATTCGAGGAAATGGATATCAATGATAAGAATCAATGGTACAAGCTTCACCAGTATTCAGCTAACACTTTCCTTATCCAATACCAAACTAGGCTACTATCTATGCATCACATAACCTTGATTAAAAAGTCAAAGAAAACAACAATAATCAAAATTCAATTTCTGCAAAAAAATATTAGGAGAACAAAATTTTAAAAATCGATCATTACCAGAGGCTAGACTTACATGACTAGTCACAAGGTCCTAATAAATACTCTCATCCCTGCAAAACCATGCAAACCAAGTCAGAACAAAGATCAAACTTAGTTCTTTTTTCTCCACCTTATATGGAAGCCACTACAGTCGCTCAACAAAGGAGCTTAAAGGAGCATCATTCAACAACTCCACATAATTTCTATGCTCTCAAGTCCCAAATCAATTTTGTATCCCGACATTGGAGCAAGGCATGAATGAAATATTCACACGATGCCCCACACATCTGACAAGTGCAATCCATTGTGACATTACGATAGTGTAAGCTTTGGTCAGCATTTAGATGGTGTTAGCCAAGAAGAACCAAATTATCTACTCAAATCAGTTTCAAGATTAAAATAGCAGTGCAAGCAACACCTTGAATTTTGGGTTGTTTGTCATGTGTGTGTGTGTGTGTGTGTGTGTCTATCAGTGTAAGAGGCAACATACACTGGGCAAAGGTCTGCTGCCTTTGTAGGTTGGAAGTCACCTGCTCCATATTGAAAAGTGTAGTCTGCTACTAAATAATCCATGCACACAATTATATACCAAATTCAGTCACCAACATCAACTCAAAAGTAACTACCATTAACTCAAAAGTAAATAAAACTAAATAATAAATTCCTCCATGAATTTCACAAAACTAAATTATAAAACTCAGAAGATGTGCAGGAATTTCATAGCTGAAAGATTTGAACCATTGTTGACCTTCTCATCTGATTTTCATAGGGCCTTGCTGAGCAACAACCTTTGTGTTGAAGTCGCAAAACAACCTGTGTTTCACTCTCTTCCATAGGATTAAAACAGCCAGCTAGATAAGTACCATACTAAGCAATAACCTGTATTGCAGTCGCAAAAGAAATATAAAACTAGAATTAGCAACAAGACAATATATGCAGTGTATTTAGTGAAATCTTATAGATAAAGTTGCACCTGGGCAATTGACAATAACAAAATGAGCAAAGACAACATTAGCAACTTCAAAACAGTGGCTAAGACCAGATGAAATTTCCAGTATAGAAGCCTAAGACAAAAGTATCGATTGAAGCCATAATTTTAGAACATCAAATACAAAACCCTTAAAATCAGTCAAATTTGAAGAAAACCTCAATCGAACAAATAAGAAAAATAAATCAAATTATACATAATTCAAACTAATTATTATTTCCAAAAGACATAATATGAAACTATAAAAATACCAAATCAAATATCTGATTATCAAAAACGCAGATAAAAATTAATCAAAAAAAAAAATGGTGAAACCTAACTTCAACAAAACAGATCGCAAATCGATAAAAAAAATTCACAAAATCACAAAAAGTATAATAAATAAAAAAGAGTTACCTCAAACAGTGATGAAAATCAAAGAATCACAGCAACAAAATTGATCAGCGAAGAACAAAATCCCTATTTCGATTCAAGTGAAACGAAAATACAGAGAGACTTGAGAGTAGAGAGAGAAAGAGCAAAGAAAAGAGAGAGAGAAACAAAAGAGTTGCGAAAAGAGCAGGAGAAGGGTCATTTAACTGGCAAAATTATCAAAATGCCCTTAATGAAATTGAAAAAGGCGGGTGAAACACAAGCTGTCAGATTGAGAGCAATTAAGGATCACGATGAATTCCTAGTTCCTATTTTATGCCTATATATATATATGAACCTATATATATATATGAACCAAGTCTAATAATAGGAACTAGGAACTCATCTGAATCGTTGATCGCGCTCAATCTAACAGCTCATATTGTACCCGCCTCATTAAGGGCATTTTTGTAATTTCACGCGTTGAATGACTTTCTTTCTAACTCATGCGCCACTTCATTTTCTTTCACTCTCTTCTTTACACTTTCTCTCTCTTCCTGCGTTTTCTCTCTCTTCTGCAGTTTTCCTTTGCAATTCAATTCTTGAATTTGTTCTTCAATGTTCATTTGCTCGTGATTTCAAGACAAGTATGTAATTTGATTTTGTTTTCTTTGTTCTTTTTATTCAATTAGGGTTTGTATTTTGAGTTTTTATTATGATTAATTTGCGATTTGCGTTTGTTTAATCTGAATAATGGTTTATATATATATATATATATATATTTGATTCAATTTTTTTTTCAGTACTTCTGATCCCTAATTTAGTTCCTCCCTCATATTTATTCGTTTGGTTTATATATGATTCGATCTTTGTTGTTGGTTTTTTATGAACAAGTAAGTTAATTTGATTTTGATTATTGTTTTTGAATTTGGTTTAATTCGAATTTTTAATATTATGTTATTTCAATTGCGAAAACTAGGGTTTTCACAATTTCTAATTGGGTATTTGTGATTAATTTGTATTTTCTCTTTAATTTCTAATCAGATAAAAAATTTCGTGCTGTTTTGGTTGCAATTTTATGATCTGTTGCTATTCTTTGTGCAATGACATATAATTTTTGAGTTTTTGAAAAGTGCAATGCATTTCTAATTGTTTTCCAGGGGATAATTCAATGGTGAAATGGATCATCAGGGATATGCTTTGGGTGGTTGGATAATAATTTACTTTTGGATAATTTCTTTTAATAAAATCTTATTTACTTTTATGAGTTTTTGTTTTACTTTTATGCCTTGAGTTCACATCGCGATTTGTGAGGCAATAGTATCTTATTCAATGTATTGATGTAGTGGAAATGGCTTATAGTTCGCTGGTACATTAATCTCTGCTTGTATGAAATGTATGATAGTATAGCTTGCATTCTTGACTATGAGTTATGTCTTGGAGAAAGCTTATTGTGTTAGCTTGTACGTTCTTAACATTGATTATTGTTGTTGTTATGCATTTCTATCAGAATTTCACTTTACTAAGGCTTCAGTTTATTGATAAAGGTGGTTTGGGGAATTGGGGGTTTTACCTTGTGTTGGATTTTTAAAGTGGGCTATTAGTGGCTTAGTGCATGTAGCTTTTGGGATCTGCAAACCTTCAATCTACTATACCATGGAATCTACTAATGATAGAACATACTAAGAAATGTGCGTAATGAATGATACATTGCTTATATATCTTAAGTAAGACTATCCACACTTTGACCCTTGACATATTGATAAGGTATTTCTGGGATGCCTTTTGGAGATGTGGGATTATGCTTTACAAATGAGTTATAGGTAATTTAACCTTGGTAAGGTTATGCTTGCCAGTAGCTGATGGTGGTTTATTCTGCTTGTCATGTATCTTCTCCGCATCGCTCTAGTATGTCAGGCATGTTGGATGTATAGAGTATATAAAAAGGGATTATAGGGATCTGAATGCATTTTGAGCATTCCACTACAGTATTGCTGCATTATGTAATGATATTTTAGTCAGTTTTATCTCTAATAATTTTGAAACTTTGTTTATTTTCTGGTTGAGTGTCCTAAGTATCCAGGCTTTTGTATAGCACGACAAAGGAAGGAATATATTCATTTGTTGAAATATTTCATACCCCAAAGCAAGTATGTCAGATCCTTCTATATCTAATACACCGTAGTCTTTTGGGATTTGGACTATGCAAGCATATAGTTTTAGGATCATACCTCCTTTCAAATTAAATTTACTTTTGAGATTGTTTTAATTACTTTTGAGATCGTATTATTTACTTTTGAGATCGTTTTATTTTTCTTATTTACTTTTTGAGTAATTTTCTTTACTTCGACAATATACACTAGCCTACTAGCTCAATAGGTAGAGCATTGTGCAAGTGCACAAAAGATGTGGGTTCGAATCCCACGTAGGTTTATTTATGAGATGAAATTATTTCTTTCAATTATTTGTGTGTATTTCATTCAGTTTACTTTAAAGTCTTTTTCATTCACTTTAGATTCTTTTTTATTTACTTTTAAATACCCCAATCTTCTTGCTAGTTGGAGGTCGTATCTTAATACGAGAGCTTCAGCAATTGCAGGAGAAATGTAGTATGAGCATACTTTCCAGCAGCTACAACCTTATCCAACTCATCCATGATCACTGTCTCAAGCTTAATAGCCCGCCCTACTCAAACATATGCATCCATATCCACCTTCTTGTAGGAGGGCACCACCATGATGTGTGAATAGCACAAGAGTGAGCAGCAGTTGCCTCATTTCCCCTACTTACAGCAACACCCACACGAGTAGCAGCACACAGACTCCAACCCCTAGCAACAGTGCACCCACATGGTCAGATGCAATGGTAGCATTGGAACGATTACAGTAGCAGCTCCAGCATGGCTAGCAGCAGAAACACTCTCTCCACCCCCCCCCCCAACAGCTCCACACACCGGATCAATAATAACAAATTTTTTTACTTCCAATGTATAATATATACTAGCCTATTAGCTCAATAGGTAGAGCATTGTGCAAGTGCACAAAAGATGTGGGTTCGAATCGCACTTAGTTTTATTTATTTTTTTAATTTTTTTTGTATCTACCCTACTTTTGAGAATTTTTTATTTACTTTTAGAATATATCGATTTACTTTTTACTATTTTATATCTACTTTTGAGATATATTAGAGGATGACTTGAAAGTATGATGTAAAAGGTCATGTGTAACAAGTTTCTCTTACTCTTTCTTACTATAAAATACTATGTAATGGTACTTTGGAAAAGTCGATTCATATTGGTTCTGTATCCTGTGTTTGAATTTTGATTTTTTTAAAGCAAATTTTGTTTACTTAAGACATAACTTGCTCTACTTTTGATTACTTTAGATATATTTGGAGGTAGAAATAGAGTTGATGTTGAGTTCTTAACCAATCTTGAAAAAATATGACAACATTTTTAAAGTTTTTCTATGTAATGATAGTCGAGGCCTCCAAACCCAATTAATTGTATGTGTATCTTAGAGCTAATTTTATTTACTTTTTTAGTTATTTTGATATACTTTTGAGGTGTTTTGAATAACTTTAGAATGTTTTGTATTTACTTTTAGAGGTAACCTATGTAGGAATTGAACCTACACCTCTATGCATCCGCATAGTGCTCTACCACTTGAGCCAATAGGTTTACTTTAAAGTCCTTTTTATTCACTTTATATTCTTTTTTATTTACTTTTAGAGACAACAAATGTATTTCTCATTATGAGTTTTTTTTTTTTTGGTTGACAGAAAGCAGCAGCAGATTTTATTACAGAATGCTAGCAGAATCTATCATAACAGCATGCATTACATAAGGAGAAGCCTTCCCAATCCACACTCTCATCTCCACATACTCTCTACTAGCATGAGCAAGTTTATGGGCAGCAAGAAGCCAATAACATTACCATATCTACTTACTAAAGAGAAATAGATATGATTACAAAGACTAGCCCTGGCAATGTACCCAAAACCAGAAACTTCCATAAGAAAAGAGTATAGTTGTTAATTTCAAGGATGACATTGCTACGGCTAGCTTCCATAGCAATTGTTAAGGCATATCTAGCTACAAACGCTTCCGCAACCTCAACCTCAAAGCTACCTTTCATCAAACAACAACCATAATGTCACCCTCACTGTCATGCACAATACCTCCAACACAACATCATTAGTATTGATTGAAATAATCATTGGTGAATTGAAATATAACTCACCGATTGCCATTTTATCACGTTTACCAAACTGTTGCAAAACATCAATTTCAATCATTGCTGCCAAAAATATTTGAAGTTATTATCATTGAGACAACAAAATTAGTATTGATTTTATAGAAGCCAAAGTCAGAGAGGTGCCAAGTCTTGCAAGTACTAGCAGCTGAGGTGCAGCAACCACATTAGCTTTTTCATATTCACCAACCAAATTCATAGCCCTATTGACCACATCCTCAACTTTCAAACCAAAATCCTTTAGCACCAATTAGCACAAATTTTCTATTTACTTTTGAGACTAATTGTTTTACTTTTACTAATTTTCTAATTACTTTTAAACATAACAAGAAGCATTAACAATTCATATTCACTCAGTTTGTAAGCAAGAGATTTGAATAATTCTCACCAAAATTACAAACTTTAAAATTGATTAAAGGAAGACATTGATTGTTGCAACTCCCCTTTGATCCCTGCCAGCTTACTTAAGATCTTGTAAGTTATAATAATAAAACAACCAATCTGGTATGTTCTTTAACAACCAATAATATACTGTCTAAGCTAAGAAAAAATTGTGTTAGCAAGCTGATCAGGTAGAGGGCCAATGAGATGATTGTTAGACAGTTGCAAAGATGTTAGTCTGAAATCCGGTTATTATAGAACAAGATAGCCCATAGTTGATGGCAGCTTTCCTGTAATCGTACTGTTCTCTAACATTATGATAATTTAGTTTTTTTATTTACTTTAAAATATAATCCATTTGCTTCTACTTAATTTCCATCTACATTTGAAATTGGTAAAATAATAGGATTCATTGGGTAATTTAATCAAACAGTTAGTGTGCATCAAAATTTATGCACAAATTAGTGAAATTAAAGTACCAAAATTGACAAAATCAATCGATATAACCATTCATAACCTCATAAATTATAAATTAAAGTTTGGAATTTCACTATAAAGAACCCTAAATTGACTAACTCATAGATAGTGAAATTGAATTCGTTAATCTAAAAAAAAAAAAAAAAAAAAAAAAAAAAAAAACATCGATCTTACCTCAGAAGCTGCTTCAATGGAGAAGAGTAAGCTCGAAAATCGCTTCTATGGAGAAGAGAAAGCTCGCAAGTTGCTTTAATGAAGAATTTAGAGAAGTGAGAACACTAGCTTCAATGGAGGAGAGAGATTAATCAGAGGAGTAAGTGTGGAGAGCGTGATAAGAAATTCTAAAATAATCTGATCCGCCCATTCTTTTTTAATTTGACGGTTGTGATTAGTTCCTAGTTCCTATAAAAAAAACGAATTTCTTTTGTAATTGTTGTATGACTTATTTATCAATGATTTTAATCATAAAAACAATTATTAATTTCTTTTTACATAGACACTATAATTTAAAGAGACAAAATTATAAAACTACGAGTAAATTAAAATAATTAATTTCCGCGTGTAACTCTTATCCTGTACCACTTAAATTGAGATTATCATTAAATAATCTAAATTTTTTATTATTAAAAGAAAATCGACTATATTTTAGACTCGTTTCCTGCCCCGTGCGATGAGCAAGGGTTGAACATTTCTTGACTCGTAACCTGAAGTGACTCAACGTGAGATGATTCTTGACCCAACCCTAATTGACTGGTGTCAATTTTATTAGATTGTGAAGTATATAATTTTAACCGATTAGTATATACTATAAATGGTTGTTTTACACTTTGAAGTAGTCCTTTCGCTCCCAGAAATATTATGATATAAAAAATAAATTTATATGATAATTTTTTAGAATTATAATTTAATAATTTTTTTAATAAAATTATAATTCAATTTGTACCTCTTAATATTGTTATTTTATCAATAATAAAACTCTAAACTAACAATTTTTATCATAATATTCTATCCAAATATAATCTATATTAGTTATAAGATAAACGATTATTAAAACAATTTTTTCCCATTTCAATACAGATGATCTACTGATCTAGTATATAGGCTTAAATCCGAATCCGATTAATTGCCCTGTAAGTTTAGTCACCGGTGATTCTATATACTCTGTTTCCGTAATTCTTGTAGTCCCTCAATCCTAAGCTCCAACTCTCCAACTCATTCTTACTCATTTTCCACTTTTCCAGTCATTTGGGTTTGTAGATCAATATTCAAATCTTGCAATTGCACCAGGTACATGCTCCTCCTTTCTAAATTTACCGTTGATCTTGTTTATGTGGATTATAATTGGAAATATTTGATCTAATAGGAAAATAAGATTAAATTCTTGGGCTGGATAAATTTGTTCTTAATTTCGATTGAAAGTTGGATGATTTTTTATCTTTCAAGTTGGGTTAATTTTGTTTATTGGAAATCCATATTATCATGATTTTTTTTTTTTTTTTTTTTTTTTTTTTTTTTTTTTGAATCATATAAGTTATCATGAATTAATATGAAGTCATGAAAAAGAGGGCATTATTATTTAAAATAAATGTTTGAGTTGTTATTTTGCTTTGATGATTGCTTGAGTATGATAACTTATTGAAATTGCTGCTGAAAAATTCTTAGTGGGTACTAATCATCTACTAGCAACTTCACCGTGCTTTTGCTTTTTTATTTTATTTTATTTATTTATTTTTATATGATGTCAATGTCCCTTTATTTATGCAGGGATCACTACTCCGACCAAGTTTTTCGGTTGAGAATGTTTTGATATCTAATGTGAATAATAGAGGGCAATTCATTAGCCAATTGGTGTTTTTGAACAATAAGAAGTCTATCAGCTATTTAAGTTCTCAAAGGAATGATTGGAATTATTGTTATGCAAATTTGATTTTTATAATTCATGACTGTTTCCCCCTATTATGAATTTGCTAACTTCGTGGTCGATTTATTGTATGATTTGAAGAATTTGCGGTCAAGTTAAAATTCTTATGTTGTCATTTATGGAATTAGGGTATGCTTCTCTTGCCTTGTTTCTGGTTTTATTGATTGTTATCGCCCTGTCAGATAATAAGATCCAGTTACAATCGGATTCTATTCTCTGGCTTACCAGTTCAATATTTTTGTGATTTCAAATTGGTTTCTAATTTTGATTTATGGGCTACTTTTACAGATTATATTGCTTTCAACATCGTCCAACAAACAGTTTTTTCTTTGTAGATTATTGATAATTACATTTCTGAAGCGTAGCAGTGATTTGGGGGACTTCAGTGAGGACAGTGACAAATTGAACTCCGTGTGAGTGCAATGGAGAGTCCTATTAATGATGATATGGACTCTCTGTTTGAGGGAATGGTTTTATTTACTCCCCAAGTAGTTGATAAGCATAATGATAATTCTTCTATGAAAAACGGTGACACATCAGCTTTATCTTCAGCACCTTCACCATCATCTCAACCCCTTGATGAAAACCTATTCTCTGATCTAACTGTCATCACTCCTTCCCATGTTGAAGCAATTGTGACTGAGACATTGACACCATCAATTAATCCTTCTGTAATGACAACAAGCACAATGAAGTCTGAGCCACAAGCAGCTCCGGCTGCTACTATGTTTCGGCAAATATCTAGAAAGAAGAAAAGAGCTGGTTTAAGGATTGGGTATGGGAGGGATTTACAACACACTGATGATCTAGAGCCTTTGCAAAATTCTTCTGAATTATCTCCTGATAATGAAAACTCTTTGGCAACTGCCACCATGTCTGTCAATACTAATTTGAATACCAAAGCTGATGATAATTTAGAAGTCCCTTCTGTCTCTTCTCATCCTAGCAAAATGCTAGAAGTTGATTCTTGTCCAGTCGAACATGAAACTGAATGTATTCCTCTTGGTTCAGACGATAAAGTAGAATATCAAATTAATACAGATATGCCTTGCGATTTGACTGGAGAGGGAAATATTGCCTTTTCTTCTCTGGATGCTAAAGAACTTCCTACCATCCAGAAGCAAGAAGAAGAAGAGGAAGAAGCAAATTTTGATTCTGTGGAGGTGAAATATGAACATGTCAAGGCTCAAGTGTCTGAGAAGCTGAGACAAGCTCGAGACCAGGCTTTATCTATATCTGCAGCAAGGAAGGATTCTAGAAGGAGGAGACGAAAAGCTGCCGAGAATGTTGAACTAGCATCTTTAAGGTTCAAGGAAATTGAAAAGGATCTTGAAGAAGCCTGTGAGGCAGAAGACTTTGAAAAGGCAGAACGCCTCAGTGAGAACCTTGTGGCTGCTGAAAAGGAAAAAGAATACATGTTAAATGCACTAAAAGATGCCGAGGCTGAATGTGATACTATTGATTCGAAGATGGAGGAAGCACTGAAAGATCAGATTGCTGCTGAGGAAGAATGTGTCTCTTTGCTACACCGATTTTCAGTGGTATGTTTTCTTTTCGTCTATTCTAGTAGCTATCTTCTTCGATACCTTTGACTAAATTTGGACTGCTGTATTGTCCCCCCTGGCCCTCTGCAGGATTGATATTTATGTTCTGATGTGGATTAAAACCCCTTAACCCAATAAAGAATCTAAAATCACACAAGCAACGCAAGCCTTCCGAATTCCTTAAGAAAATAGAACAATTTAAAGAATAACGAACTGGATATGACTTGTAATTCGACCACTCCTGGAACGAACTCAAGACTACTCAAACTACTTAGGCCCTGTTCTTTTGAGCTTCCAGAGTAAATTAAATTTCAGCATAGCGGAGCAGATTTCAGGATAGCAGAGCCGAGCCAAACAGAGCAGATTTCAACATTATTATTAATACTATTATTATTAATGTTGTTATTATTATTATTATTATTAATATTATTATTACTACTTTATTATTATTACTATTATTATTACTATTATTATTATTATTATTATTTTTAAAATATCAAAAAATTTACAAAGTCGATCAATTTACAAGAAATTGGTGGGGAGCCGCCCCTCTAGCTATAGCGAACCCGATCCTGTTGAAGATGTGAGCAGCTGCACGAGCATCAATATCCTAAGTTTTAGCGAACGCCTGAACCTGCTTCAGCAACGCAACATCATCCTTCTCTAATTCCCCCAACGAAGAAAAGGAGAAAGGAAGAAAACCATAGCCAATAGCTCTGCAACGCGCCCCATACTTGTCCCGCTTCCGCTGAGCCGCCGCAGACACAACACGACCAGGAACGAAGTTAGAAAACCCTGATTGTGTCAAAGGTGAAGACCCGTGAAATCAACATATACATCAAGGCCTCGATCCTTGGAATAAAACAACACATTTGCTGGTCGAAGAGCTTCGTCGTTCCCTCCATTCAACCCAACGTTAACCTCCTTTCGAGAAGAAATCCCAGACCGAAAACAAATATCAACAAGGGTGACACGAACAACGTTGTGCCGATGTTTAATACCCACCATCCCATCACAAGACACTGCATGATCACCATAAATATCCCCATCAAAAACCCTTAAGCAAGGAGAACACGGTGTTGAAATGGAGAACAAAGGAACACCCAACTTTAGCAAAGAAAGTTACGATAAGACTTACCATTCATAGTCTGACCCAAACCCGATATCGGAACCGTTCACAACCAGGACGAAGAGTGATCCCCTGTTGGGACTTCCATAAGGCAACCTGACGCGCTGATAAGGAGAAAGTGGAATCCGCTGATACAGTAACCTTCGTGAAATATATATCTGCCAATTTTTTCATGAGTCTGGGGCAGCGATCTCACTAGGGTTACTCATAAGGTCAGTCTCCACAGTCCTATTAAAAAGACTAAGAGCACCATCGAAATTATTATTATTATTATTATTATTGTTATTATTATTATTATTGTTATTATTATTATTATTATTAATATTATTATTATTATTATTATTATTATTATTATTATTATTATTATTATTATACGATTTAGGTTAGTGAAAACATAAATATGTGTACCATATTTAACATATGTAAATAATAGAAAGATAAAAGACAACAGTTTACTTATATTTATTTCACAAAAATTTTAAAATAAAATGATTTAATGAGTAATAATGATTTTACTTATAAATTTGTCTTAATCATATATTTTTTACCCTAAAAATAATAATAATATACAAAGTAATACTTGAAAACAACCTCTTTTTTGTTTTTTAAATCTTAAAATATATGGAAAGATTTAAAAAATAATTCAACTCAATGAACTAACAATCAATACCCACATAAAATGTTTCTACACGTTGTGATTCTATTACCAAATGTTCATAAAAGAAATTGTTATTAATTGTTATTATTATTATTATTTATTTATTTTGAAAGAATTGTTATAATTATTAGAAATTATTAATTAATAATATTATTAAATATTAATTCTTAATAGTTTGAATTATTAAATATTATTATTGATAATTGTTATTATTAATTATTATTATGATTAATAAATAATAATTATTATTAATATTAATAATTATTAAAATTATTTTTAATATTAATAATTGTTATAATTATTCAAAATAATAAATTATTATCATCAGTACAATATTAATTATTATTATTGAATATTAACTATTATTGTTATTATTATTACTTATTATTTTAAAAAAGAGCAGAGCCGAGCAGAGCAGAGCAGATTTCTTTTAAGCAGAGCAAAGCAAAGCAGGGCAGGGCTCAAGCAGAGCAGCTCTAAAGAACGGGGCCTTAGACTACTCCTAGAACTAAGTATTTTGATGATCAAAACTTAGACTACTCCTTGAACTAAGAATTGAAAGATCTAATTATCAAAACAAATCCTTGAATTGAAAACTGGAAAGAAAAAGTTCTAACAAAGTTAAACAAATTGTATTGAAATTAATCTGGTTTTCTATGACTCTAAAAGCCACGAAAATTCCCCTATTTATAGACTAAAACTACCTAATTCTACTCCAATAAGGATTAGGACAAACCCCTAACCTTGTTCCCCAAGTATCCTAACTAGAATAGAATTACTACTTCTAATTAGAATAGGAAAACTAATCCTAAACAAACTCTAATTAACTAAAACTATTCCTAATATAATTAGAAAGTTTATAGCAACTAAATAATAGAAATTAAAGCTTATCCTAAGTGCTTAAACGAAGAAAAACCCTCTCAAGTGAAAGGTAAAAACCTGGAAGCAAAATTCTAGAAAAAAAAAAACTAAGTTAAAAAAACCACCATTTCACACAACCGCCAGAAAACCTCCTTACGCGCCTCCCCTTGTCTCACGCGCCGGCTCTTGTTGAAGCTGGGTTCAAGGCGGTTCCGGGAAGGTGGCGCGTGGCCCTTGGAGCGGCGCGTGGCCTTCGCAATCGCTGTCGAAAGTAAACCGCTCCAACTTCTCCCTTGATGATCAAGCTTCCTTCTTTCCCAATCGATCTATTGGACCTTTCCTTGTTTATTTCTTTCTTTGGGCAGCCTATAATGAAGCTATTTGGACCTTCTAAAAGTGTCTTAGGCCCTTCAAAAGAATTAGCCTCTTGATTCACATCATGTTCTACCTACCTTGAATCCATAGTTTATTTTCCTCTTATCTAAAGTCTCCAAAACATCATATTAAAATTAGCTCACAAAGCGGATACTAATGGTGAATTGTCTATACTATCCAAGTATTTGTAAATATAGAATTTAATGTTTTCATCATGCGTGCACTAATTAGAACATGTGTTTAATATAATGAATAAGTCAATATATGAATACTTTGCAAGTCCAAAGTTTAACTGTTTGCGTTTACTAGCTCCTTGCTCCAATTAAAAAGCTCTACATTTATTCTGAATTGAGCTTAGCTAAATGGCCTAATGACTGCAGCCAGATATGGAACGTCCAGAACACAGAGTCGAATTAAAATAATCTATGGTGTACCTCCTAATTTCTCATTAACATCTAAGACAAACAGAAATTGGATGATCGTAATTTAGTGCTTATAGATATTCTTTTTTAGGAGTTATTAATTAATTATGCATCAAGAATTCTTACAACTGTCAAACTGCTTCACAATTATAGTTATGTGAACCAAAAGAGATTCTGTGGGAGGTTATCCACTTATGGTTCTATTTAGGCTTAGACTTGTGACTTGTCACTTTCTCACTTTGAAAATGTGACTTTGAGTTCTGGATTATTGGAGTGTGCCAGAATAAGGTCTTTCTTTTCATCTTTTAATCCTTCCTCACTGTTTTTCTTTTTGTCTACTGGTTCCTAAAGTCGAATTGGTGTCTACATAGGCTAGTGAAGTCATTGTGTTTTTGCTGCTACTTGAGGAGTAATAGAGGATACATGTTCATTTAATGGCAGACCTTTTCCTTTTCAGTTAAATATTCAGCTGTGGGCTATAATACGGAGATACTTGTAAGGTGTTACACATTTTACTCTCCTTTTTTGAAGAGTTAAGTTTTGAATACAAATATATGTCCATTTCCTTTATGAGGTTTTTTTTACAGGTCAATACTTCTTTTTATCATTTAATTTTATACTACAGTAATTTAGAAAAATGTGCAATGTTCTGAGATTTCTATGTAGGCAGTATCAGTCTTTACTAATCTGTAAAGTACATACTGGTTGCTAATGCTACCTCTTTTTTTTTTTTTTTAAAAAAAAACATTTATAATCTACATACTCAGTATATGAAAACATTAGGAACCAAATCTAGTATTTTTTTTCTTATTCTGAAAAAAATTCCTTTTTTTTAATGCTCCTCTTTCAACACAACACAACCCAGATGTGGATTGCACTCGCTGAAACAAAAAGGAATGGGAACAGAGTTGTTGTACAAGTAACCTCTTTTTTCAGATCTATGGCTGCCTATTAGAATAGAAGGTTTTGTCAGTGAAGTACCTTAAAAGATAAAAGTTAAGGCTTCTGATCTTTTAACAGCATTAGCAAGTCTAACAACACTTGGTATTATTGTGGCTGATGGGAACCAGCTCCCAGAAAAAAGAGGAGTTGAAGGCTGATTGCTGCTAAGGAAAAGAGTGAGGAGATGCATAATGAGAGTGGGAGAGGGGAAGAAAGTGAAATTGGTTGAGGAGAAGGTTAAAATCTCTAAGGGGCAGGGTTCACATATATTTATTTACCCTCTTGCTTAGCTTTATAGTCATTTGAAGTTGCCAGACTTCTTTTTTCTCTTTGTTTGTCTTCATGTATTTGCAGTTTAAATTTTTGTTTGATGTGTTAAATTACATTTGTAATTATCCATTTAGTTCTGTATTTCATAACATCCATAATTTATCCACTAGATTAATTATATATTTTTGTTTATTTCAATACAAGTTTCCTTTTTCTTAATTTGGACTTGTAATAACCATTTTTACCAATTTTATGTATCTTGTGTGTGCTGGACTCTTAGATCAAGTCAATAATTGCATCTGATTTTGAGCCTTTTTTTCTTAAACAGTTTGCATGAGTATTGTAACCTATATGCCTTAACAAATTTGCCCAAATGGGTTGGGGAGTGAAATATGTTGCATAGTTCATTCATAATTTAATTGAGAGCAAAAAGTAATCAAGGAAATGATAGTTAGCTCATTAACTATGAAGCACATGCCCTTATATTGAATAATAGCCCATCAAATCTTAGGTGATTTCACTTGCAAATGATCAGGTAGTCTGCTAATACTCGTATATATGTTGTTTGTAAAGTATTCTTTTTTGGGTTTGACTTGTTTGACAATTCTTATGTCTTTAGCATTTATCAATCACTGTTAGGAGCAATAGGTGTTTATTTGGATATGATGCTTGTAATTTAACTATTGCTACTTCCTTCTGATAGGATGCAGTGAGCAATGCCGATGTGATTTTGGAAAATGTTGAGGTCGATTCTTCAAAGGAAATGGATGAATGGTTTATGTCTGTTGAAGCTGCGGAGACAAAGAAGTTGGAATTAGAAATCGAGTCACAGTTAGTAAATGAAGCTCGTGCAGCATTGGCTGACTCAATTGAGCATTTAGTTGAAAATGATATTAAGGAAAAAAAATTCCTTTGTGAGAAAAAAAAAGTTTTGACACAAGAGTTAGAAGAACTTTTACGTTTGGTGCAGGAAAAAGAGGCAGAGATAGCTAAAAACGATTCTGAAATTGAAGCAGCTGACAAAAAGATAGCTGAAGTAGCTGCTGGTTTCAAGGATCTCCAAACAGGAATCGATTCCAAGTTTGAGAATTTGCAGAATGTACTCTATCAAATGGAATCAGAACGTCAAACTTTATCAGAAAGGAAGGAAAAAATTGATTTTCTCATTACTCAGGGAAAGAACCGTGAGAAAGAACTTAGGAAGCTTGCAATGGATTGTGAAGATGAAGCCAACATGTACCAAGAAAATCTTAGACTCAGGAAAGCTTTGGTGATATCAGTTCTTAAAGTTAGAGAAGAAAAATTAAGGCTTGCCCAAACAGAGGAGAAAATTTTGGCTGATACTCAGATGCTCAAACAGGATATTTCTGCTGCAAGAGTTGATCTTCAGGTCAATTCTACTCTCTAGCCTCTATTCTGTTTTTTGTTGTATATGTTTCTTTAGCATTATTTGCATATTTCTGTGTGAAAAGAGAGTATTAATGTACTGCAGCTTTCAGTAATGTTTGAATCATGTGAGCAATAGTCTTATGCTCTTCACATTTTGGCTCACCCAAACATAGACAGCTATTTTTTCAACAAGGTTTTTTTTTTTTTTTTTTTTTTTTTTTTTCTTTTTTTTTTTTCTCCCATGGAGAGTGCCATTCTTTTGAATGCGATTTGCCATCCTAGTATCTTTTTTTGGGAGGGTGAAAAAGCTATTTGGTTAGCGTCTTGAATGATGATGGATATTAACATAATATTGCCTAATTTCCATTCATTTAGAATACTATTCCAAATTAAGATGAACAATTTTCTTTAGGATGTCAGCGCAATATAGCAAAATGTAGTTTGTAAGTTAGTTCATCCTCTGGTCCCGTCTCTGTCTGCCTCTCTGAGTTTATACTACCACGTATCTGATTTTATTTTTCAGTTGTTCCTCTTTAAATGTTTTATTATTCACATACCCCATTTTGAAGTTTTTTTTTACCTTTAGATGAAAACAAAATTAGTCATGTAGAATGTTATACTACTACCTCTGCTCCCAAAAGTTTTTTACGGTTACTGTTTGCACACAAATTAATGTAATTGGTGAGAGAGTGTTGATATGGTGAGTTGTAAGAAAAAGGTGGATAAAGTAGGGAGAGAGTGTAAAAAGGTGGGTGGATGTAAGAAAAAGATGGAAAAAGTTAGAGAGTGTTAAAAAAAGTAGGTGTAAGAAAATGTTGGAAACAGTATGAATGTATGTTGCTGAAATTGGAATAAAGTAAAAGTGTAAAGAACTTTTAGGAACGGATTAAAACAAAAGGCGTAAAGAACTTTCAGGAATGGAGGTAGTACGTCTTATTGTACATTTCAAAATATCAGCTTTAAAAAATATTTACGAATGTATACAAGTAGATTTTAAAGATCAAATTATGCATTGACGAAAGAATTTTATATGGTTTCCTATTTAAAAATAGGAATTGTCGCTGTTTCTTTTGGGCAATTATTTTTATTTTTTACGTAGTTTTTTTTTTTATTTGTTGTAACTATGTGTCTCCGACACATTCTTTGGGAAGTTGTGGTTGGTGAGGGTGGTCGGGGGGATAAGCCTGTGTAAGTGACTTAAGTACTTAACTATATGCTTTATTATTGAATTTAATTTTGAAGTACCTTTAGGTTAGGAAATGTCTGTGTCAAGCACACAGTATTACTAGCAGATATTGGCCACTTGGCCAGTTATGACTCTCACGTTGTGTAAGTGTGCTTCATCAATTTATTAAACTTTTGAAATTCCTTTAGGCGGTGGAAAGGTTATAGTGCCTTATACACAATATCACAAGCAGATAATGGCTAGTTATGTGTCTCACCTTGTGTCTTTATTTCTTTTAAAAACATGCCAGGTGTGCTAGATGGCATTTTACTTTCCTATTATACTCTTTAGTGGTTTTCTTTGGAAGATTGGATGCAAATTGGGCCTTTATTTTTTGTGCTTTAGTTAAATTGAGAGCCGGAGAGGATAGGTTGTAGATGGTTCTTGTATAAGCATGACACCCATATTTTCAATGTTTTCAAATTAGGACTAAATGGAGTTGGGATATAGGATATAGGATTTAGAATATAGCCAGCTATTTTTTTTTTTCGCTGGCACGGGAGGAAAGTGGGGTTTGGCAGAGTTGAGAGGTTGGCGAGGGTCATGGAGTTTGTTAGATGTTTGTGCTGGATCTAAGGGTCATGCTAAGTGAAACATTTACTAAAACTGTGGCTAGCTCCCTTTCCTCTAGTAAGGCCAGACTGCTGTAATTTGCTAGCATATGTGACTTCTCTCTCTACAGGAATTATCCTCCAATAAATCAAGCATCCAGCAAGAGTGTGCTTCGATAAAACAAAGAATGTTTTTTATTGACAAAAGGATACCTGAGCTTGAATCAGAGAAGAAAGTTGCTGCATCTGCCAGAAATTTTAAAGAAGCGGCGCGTATTGCCTCTGAAGCCAAGTCATTGATGGCTGAAAAGGAAATTTTGCAGAGTAAGATGGAGCAGTCTGTGTCAGAACTCGGTAAAATTGAGGAGGGGATTCATGAGACTACCAGGAAATTGTATGAGATTGAAGAACTAGTATCATCAAAGGAAAAAGAGGCAGCAGTGGCCAGATTTCAGAGGCTACATCTTATTTCTGCTGCTATTTCATGTGAAAGATCAGCTGCATTAGAGCTGGGTGATCTGGAAGAAGCTAATGTGCTTCTTGCAGAAGCCGAGGCTGCAGATTCTGAAGCAAAACAACTTCAGTTGTTACATGATATTAACACAACAGAACTTGGAAGTCTAACTGAGCAGATTATCTCCATGGAGTTTGTTTCTAGTCTTGATGGGAAGCAGTTGGAAGAATTAGCCACAGGTGGTAACCAAATTCCCTCTTGATGTTGTAAATGGACCTGGTTGCTTGTAATTTTTGTAGGATATTCAAGTTGCAAAGGAATATTGGAAATTTTTTCCTCCAATTATGAGATGGTATTCATCCATTTTTTAGAAGTCCAGTTGTTCCTGGATTCATGCTACTGTATGATTTTACTCCGATGAGAACTGCGCATTACTGCTTTGAGCTTATGTATCATGGACTATCAATATGAGGTATTTTGAGGTTCTCTGTGAGATTTCTGGACTTTAGTCATTGTGATAATACTGATAAATTGTGAGTGGGATAGTCTTTCAAAGCAAAAGGATGATGATTTCTGAACAATTTCTGCCATTGAGATTGTGTAGCTGTAAAGAGCAATGCAAGGTACTATAGTTTTCGACCCGAAGGGTCATTATTAGACATCTTTGATCAGAAGCTACTGTAGGCTCCCCTTAATGTGTAGGAACCAATGCTAAACAGAGGTCTTCCTGAACTTGAAAAATTGGTGAGTGGTGACTACATTGATCTTGTTGGTACAGAACCGTGATTCTAAAAGTGGTTCTACTCTCTCTAGATTAAACTTGCAGCTAAGATTAACAATTAGGGGCACGTTGTACATACATATGTTGAAAAAAAAAAACACACACACACATAAATATAAAAGCATCAATTTTATACCACTTTTTACAAGAGTATAAATACCAAAACCCATTTTAAGGAGGAAAAATACTCTTTAATAATTCTAATTATTGACAATTTTACTTCTAATAGTGCCAACTAAGGTTTATTACCTAATAATCTCAACTATGTAATATGTTTGCCTCTAATAGTCACAACTGGTCAACACGACCTGTTATAATAGGTTACCATGACACGTGTCTACACATGATTGGTCTAAATTTTTAAAAAAAAAATATAAGCATAAAAAAACCTAAAATTCAGCCATCTTCTCCCACTACCAAAACCTAACCCAACCCATAAACATACTGACAAGCGGCTAGCCACCCCCCTTAACCACCGAAACTAGCCGGCTATCCATCTAACTTACCCCCGATCCCCGAAACCACCCAGCCAGCCACATCGCACCTGTACACCGCAACAACAAGCATCAGCTTCCCCTGCCACAACAATCCACCAACCAACACCAACCAGCGCAGCTCCTAATTCACTAACAACCTGCAACAACAACAACAAACAACAACCAACCAACCTACACACCTTGTCAACCACCTCCCACCACCGTAACAATTAATACCAGCCACGCTTCACACTACCAACTCCCCTCTATCTCACACACTTCTCTTGTTCCCCCAACTGAACACTAAATCAGCCCCTACCGCACCATAACAACTACCAGCTCGCAACAACTTGCACAATACCACCAACATCAACAACATGCTTCCCTTACCGGAGTGAGGCTTCAAAAGGAATTGAAACCCTTGGCTGGGTTTCACACGCGATTGAAAATTCGGGGAAACAGAAGGTCAGACGGCGAGTTTTGGGGATGGGAAAGGACAATCGGCCATTTTCCGGGGGATAGGGAGGTGAGAGGTGGCCGGCCAGCCAGTTTTCGATGGGCAGGGGTTTGCTTATTGTTTCATGGGGAAACGAAGGGGTTGGCTAGTGTAGATACCTAAAAATGTCTCCCCAAAACCAAATCCGATGATGAACAACATTTCACCGCCATTGTTGGTCGAGTTCAGTATTTAATCCCGAGAGTGCTTAAAAATCGTATTTAATTAAATTCAATTTTTGAATAGTCCATGGATCAGTCTTGATGTTTAGTCAAACCATAGTTCTTTTTTTTTTTTTTCAGCCCAAATCTTTTATTTTATTGTTTTATTATTTATTTTGGCCTAAACATTTTATTTATTTATTTATTTTGGCCCAATTAATAATAATAAATCAGAAATGGCCCGAAATAATCAATCGGCACTTAAAAATGCTGAACGAAATTAGGGTTAAAAATGAATTTAGACGGAAAAACGGACTAAAGGCTCCCGCATCACGGCAATTGTCCACCGTGTCACGGGAATTTTCCCCGTTTGACGGTGGGATTCCTCGTGACACGGTGCCCCTGCTGTGACACGGGGCAATTCCGTGTCCTTTCCGTGTAAACCCTTCACGCGTTTTATTCCCCGGACCCTAAATATTTCCCGTGTCACACAGCTATCCATCATGTCACGAGAACCTGTCTCGTCTGACGGTGCAAAGCACCGTGTCACGGTGCCCTCCGCCATGTCACGGTGCATTTTTTTTAGGGTTTTTATCTTTTTAGGGTTCCGTGTGTTCCCTCAGCACATTTTTTCTATAAATACCCCCTCATTTCTGATGGACGGGGCATGAATTAATTCTCTATTTTTTTCTCCTCTATGCCCTAGCCTAAACACTAGCCTACTCTTCTTCTTTTAAAATTCCTTTTTCAAGCACTGCAAGGAGTCTATACTTTACTCGTGGTTCTGTCCTTAAGCCAAGGCGTGTAAGGTAGAATTGTTTAAGGGTTAGGCCCCAAATCAACTCTATTTAATTTAATTTAATTTAATTATCGTTTAATTATTATTTCCTTGAAGTTACTAACTCGTTTATTATTTTATAGTTGCAAGCAAACAGAATCAAAGTAAGAATTATGTTCATTTTATTTCTATTATTTTTCTAACGATTTTATATTGTTGGATTTATTGTTAAATTGCTTCCAATATTAATGATAATTCTTATATATTTTTTATGATCACCATATTGCATGTTTAAAGGGAATATGTAATTGAAAATCACGCTTAATAAGATAATTTGGACGACCGGTTTAGGTTTCTTTTTAATCTTGTTATTAATTTAAGTGATCACAAATATTTTAGAATTATGTGTTGCATTAATATTAAACCAATTTAGCATAATAATAGTTTGGAGCAAATTGAATCTTTGTTTGTATGCCTTTGAGATCGCAGGTGTCACTTTTCACTATAAGAATCGAGTAGAGGCCAATACGGGCGAATGTGACTCCATGACTCACTTCGTACCATCATCCCGAATCCTCCTTTCGTGGTTCAGAACCATATGGAGTTAGTAATCTCATGGATTATGAATGGGATGTAACCTTCACGGGTCAATCGTTGTTGCCTATCGTTGTCCCTTATCGTGGTTGTCTTTTATGATCCATGAACGGTTTACAAGTTTCTTAAAAACTTGTTGGCGGTTCCCTACTTTCCTTGTCCCTAATCGTATTATGTCAATTCCCACTTCCTATGAGTGCCAGACATATTCACACATGCTTTAACGTAGGCGCACTTCGAACGACGCTTACAGCTAGCAGTCGTTTTTTTTTCTTTTCTTATTTTTATTGATATTACACTTACCAATCACATGCTGACATGTGGCTTTTTTTTAAAAAAAATTACCTTTTAAGCAGGTTACCAGTCATTAGGTTTATTGGAGGCAAACATATAGCATATAGTTGAGACTTGGGATTATAAGATAATAAACTTAATTAGGATTATTAGAAGTACGTAACCAATAGTTGAGATTATTAAAGTGTATTTTCCTTTTTAAAAACTCAATAAAAACGTAAAATTCCTACTCCAAACAATTTCTCTAAATTCTCTCACTGATTTCTCTCCTCTTTGTAAAATCGCCATTGTTAATCAGTATTTAAATCTCAAATACATCCAATTTCTCTTCATATTACTTTGGAATTACTTATAAACAATGATTATAAAACATTGAAAAGCATTAAAATGGTAAATTTAGCCAAAAAAAAAACTGAAAACAAACGGCTCATATTAGAGAAGTTGCAAAATCAATAGCGACAAAATCGAAAATTTTCTTTGAAAGCAAAAAAGTAAGAGATTCTTCAAATCTTAGATTTAATCAATTTTTGTCATAGTAAATTAAAAAAACGAATTTATCAAAAAAATTTAACAAATTTTTTTGTAGAAAATCTCCTAATACAACTGAAATTATGTGTATATTAAGACATGTCTTTTAATTAATACTATTTAATTTTGTTTTTTTTTTAATTTCCCTATGTTATTCATATATTAAGACAAGCTATTTTTATAAAGAAGTTCTAATATTATTAATTTATATATGTTACAATTTGAATTTAAATATTATTTTATAAACTACAAGTTTTGTTCTTGTAATAAGACGTTATTTTTATGAAAGTGTGATTCTTCCTTCGTTTTGTTTAGATGTGATATAGTATAAAGCATATTTTTGGACCTCAACCATTAGCTTAAGCTTTTGGTTGAGATTGTCCTTTAACATGGTACCAGAGCCAACGTTACACAAAGGTCACATGTCACATGTCAAATCTCATCCCCCTTTCACTTTCAAGTGGAATATTTTGCATAGGGTAAGTGGAGGGCTCTTGCTGCATCCACACTTCAAGTCCAACAGGCTCTCGTGTGAGGGGGCTTGATAGAGTATAAAACATAAAACATATTCCTGAGCCTTAATCTTTTAATTAAGTTGGTCCTTTGATAAGATGCTTTTGGAGAAGATAAAAGACAAAAATAACATTTTATTAAATAAAAAATAATTTGATTATATGAAAATATAAAAAAATAATAACATATGTACGTAGAATAAAAAAGGAAAATTATCGATGGTAGCCATATAAATTGCGCACTTTCATTGGTGGTATATATTTTTTTTCTTTTCATAATTCTCTAAAATAACAATGAAATTAAAGGTTTTTTCCAATATGGTAATATTATAGTAATTCTCACATAATCAATTGAAACATAGACTACCCATGGTTAAATTAACATACCCTCATCATCATCGCCGCCATCCTCCCTAGCCCCACCACCAAAACCACCCAACCATCTTTTCCCCTAGGTACTTAGTTGGTTGCCCCTGCCCCTCCTTCTAACCACATAGCCACCCTCCGCCCTTCTCCTCATTGTTTGTCCTTTCCTCCCTGAACCACCCGACTAAATGACCTTTCCCCAAATTTCAATATCATAGGGAGACACATGGGGAGATGGATAATTAGTGGTTGGTACACCCGGGTGCACCTTGTGCATGGTGCACCCGATCAAAACAACGTACCCTAAAACATAAAACGCAAACCCCTCACAAATTAAAAAAGGCGGAAAGAAAAATAAGAAGGATTGTAAAGAACATAGGTTTATAAAAGAACTTAAAGGCTTTGATAAAAAGAATGCGTGAAATGGAAAGGTGGGTTAATTTTTTTTCGGAAAATAACTGACACATGTCCCACCTTTTTTGGTATAAAGTGTGAGTCTCTCTCTCTGTAGATCTTT